GAGAATAGGCCCGGGAATTCCAGAGTCCTGTCAAGGATGCATTTCCCCTCATGTTTGGAGATTTCAGTCTCAAGGACATTTGAAGGAAACTGTAAGACTGGGAGTAGAAATCTAAGTGCCCATCAGCGAGAATTATTTGGCGTTAATACCCCTTTGTGGTGTGTCTCCTGCTCCCATATTTTAAAGAGATTTTATGTAATGGGAAAAAAATAATGTTTAAGGTATGGTTGTAGAAAATTTAGCTTAATATTATAGAGTTCAACGTTCTGATTTTAAAGTGAAGAATAATTAAGTTGTTGATAGGTCATGACGATTTATTTTGTCAAATTCTCTGAGGGTATAATCTTTTTTTTTTTTTTTTACAATCTTGTTTTTAAAACAATTACTGTGCAGACTGTCTTTACTTACTATTATTCCCAGACATATCTTTAGATAAGGAGCTCTGGTAGCGTAGTGGTTACGAATCGGGCTGCGAACCTTAAGGTCAGCAGTTCGAAACTACCAGTCGCTCCGCAGGAGAAAGATGAGGCTTTCTACTCCCGTAAAGATTTACACCCTCGGAAACCCTGTACAGGGTCGCTATGGGTCGGACCCGACTTGATGGCACTTAACAACAACAACAACATATCTTTAGATGAATTACTTGCTGATTTATCTAGGTAGACTTATAAGAATAACTCAAAAGCACTGAAAAAATTTGCTCAGAAAAATAATTTTCTTTTGAATCCATTCAGGCCACCCCCTAACTCCCTGTGTTTAATAGTCAAACCCAGGTGCGCGTTGATATTCCGAGTGGTTCTGGAATGATGTGGAATACAGAACGCCCTGCTGTTCTGGGTTGTGTAGTGCTGTATGGGATGATTTCACACACAATCTATACTTGTCTCTAGTTGTCTCTCACCTGCTCAGTGTTCTCTTTCTTGCAGTATGCTTTTCATTTTGTTTCTGGTTGGAAATTGTCCATTCATGCCTGCCTAGTTGTTGTCGCAGTCCTGGATGGCAGACACTGTTATAAGCAATGAGGGTATCACAGCAGACCAAGGCCCTGCCCTGAGGGGAAGTCTTTGAGGGTAATAGAGATCAGAACGTGTGACTGCCTATCACTCCCCAAATCAAAACACAAAAGCAGAAAAGATGGAGAAGACAAAGTTGTATGTGATCCGGTGTATCTAGTGAGCCTTGAGGTTTTCTTGTCCTTTAGAAAGTCGCTGGAGGCCTGGCGTGGTGCTGGAGGATAAACACTGGACTGCTAACTGCAAAGTCAGTGGTTCAAACCCACCAGCCACTCCTCAGAAACCCTTTATAGGGTCGTTATGAGTTGTAACCAACTCAACAACATTTAACGGCACCAAGAAGAAAGTTGCTGCTTTCTGTGTACTCCTGAACGTATTGTTAAGTACCGTTGAATTGGTTCTGACTTGGAGTGATGCTGTATAGGATTTCCGAGGAGCGGCTGGTGAGTTTGAACCACCACCTAGCGGCTCAAATTGACCTGGCGGCCCAGTGCTTATCCTACAGTGTCACATCAGGACTTCCCCGATCCCATAGTGGGAGCTCTGGTAGCGTAGTGGTTACGAATCGGGCTGCGAACCTTAAGGTCAGCGGTTCGAAACTACCAGCCGCTCCGCGGGAGAAAGATGAGGCTTTCTACTCCCGTAAGGATTTACACCCTCGGAAACCCTGTACAGGGTCGCTATGGGTCGGAACCGACTCGACGGCACTTAACAACAACAACAACAACAACATAGTGGGTATTATTATTACTGCCTCTACCTGCCTAACGTTTGTTGATGCTGATTATGGTTCCGGCTTTGTGCTAATTAAGTACCTTTTGCACCTGGAACATTGTAAGGTAGGCTTTACACCATTTCATTTTGCAAGTGAGGTCAACAGGACCCAGGGAGGTTAATTAAGGCACTTACTCTGCTGGTTCATAGTAGAGCCTTGATTTGCACCTGAAAATCCAAACCTAGAATTTGTACTAGGTTTTGCAGGATCAATAACCTTTATTTTCATTACAATCTTTGGTAATCAGAGGCTTTTACACTCACATTTTCACTTCCTTTTTAACTTGCCAAAACTTAATGCTCCTATATTTCCTAAAGTTGAGCCTTGTATAACTCTATTTATAATTAAAATGTGTATTGTACTCCAGTAAACCCAGTTAGAAAGGAGCTCCCATAGCTTAGTGGTTACAAATCGGGCTGCACATCTCAAGGTTAGCAGTTCGAAACTACCAGCTGTTCTGCGGGAGAAAGATGAGGCTTTCTGCTCCCATAAAGGTTTATAGCCTCGGAAACCTTGTTCAGGGTTGCTATGAGTCGGAACCGACTCCTCGGCACATCATCACCAACACCACCACCAAACCCAGTTAGAAAACACAAGTGATTATTGCCAAACCAGTACTTTAAGATTTGGCTTACCAAATGTGTAGATGTGAGAAAATCTAGTCTTAGAATCCATTCTATATTCCTAAACTAATAAAGAATGTAAGTTTTGGTAAAAGTTTTATATATGTATGTTAAATACCTAGGATAGTGCTTGGAACACAGTAGGTGCTCAGCAATGGATACTAATTTTTTTCCCCCCATTTCCACCTCATTTGTAAGATAAGTAAATCTTTTACTTGCAGATGGCATTTCTGTAAAAATGTCTTAAATGCATACTTATGTAATTGGATATAATAATCTCAGCAGTTATCAGCAAAATACCGTATTATCAAGCCCTTCCTCTTGAGTGTTACTCTCCTTTTATATATCACCAGGATTTATTTGGGTGAAAGCCGATTTTGGGAATTGAGGACTTGCATTGGAATCACTGGGATTTGGCTTATGAAATGACAGGTTACCAGACCCCCACCTGAGAGCTGCGAATTCAGGAGGTGTGGAGGAGTTTCTGAGGATTTGGTTTTTTTGCTAACTGGTTCGTGCACACCTGCTGCTCTTTTGTGACTCATGGAAAGCTGCTGGTCCTGAGAAGTGATGTGACTTCTACTTAGAGCTGCTCTCGGAATCCTAGCTGTTTGCTGTTTATGCTTACTGATGGTGCTGAGTGTGCGCTATGGTCTAATGAAATAATTTCGAGACGTTTGGTTTGTTTAAGTGCACTTAGGCTATTTAAAGGACTCCCATGTAATGCTGTAGAGTAAACACTGGACTGATAGCCATGAGGTCAGCAGTTCAAACCCACCGGCTGCTCCTTGGAAACCCTACACAGGGTCACTGTGAGTTGGAACTGCTTCCACAGCACTTAACAACAACCACTACAACAAATGCTATTTAAAAGACAAATGTCCTGTTTCATTAGAAAATTACGAAGGTTTTAATTGGTTTCTCATCCTTCTTTATGGCAAAAAAATACACAGGTTCAGTTTTTAGGGGACAAATGTGGTAACTTTGGCATAGTTTACTAGAGGGTGGTTTTATGTGTTGACCTTGATTTTTGCACATTCTAGAGGATCCAGATGATGGAACAGTGCAAAATAGTAACACAATGTTATCTTCATTTCTTTTCTCGAATCTTCTGCAAGTAAAATTTGATTTCAAGGCTAGGGTGAGCTGAATGTGGTGCTCATAGTTGGTACTTCTAAAGTAGATTTCGTTCAGAATTTCACTCATAGAGACCTGAATTTCACTCATACAGACCTATCAGTTTTAGTCTTTCCTTTGAAAGCATAGCATATACCTTTGGGGTTATCATGGTATAGAAGAATTATTTTCTCAAAGAAGAAAAGGCAATCAGAAAGTCTTTGTCGGTGAGATTAGACTGGCATGTGCCCCATTCAGTGATTGTGGAGTGCCTTTAGGTGCCAGGCACTCTGGTCAAAATGGAGCCCAATGCAGTTTGTCTTCATTGCGCACAGTGAGACGTGTCCATGGATTGTAACTTGTTAGAATCTAATTGTGCGGTGAGGCTACTGGGAAACCTCGTGCCATCTTAGGCCTCATTAATAGGATTGTTATTGTGTGCTGAGGGAGGGAGATAATGTCTGGGTCTTACTATGCTAGACCATGTCTGGAGTGTCATATTTGGGGCCCAGGGGCCAACTGGATTTGTTGTCGAAGTGAGGAGCCATACTATTGGATGGTCTGGCCATTTTCCTATATGAGGGTTGTTGGGAAAAGCGGGGAGAAGAGACTTAATTGTGTAATTGATTCTGTAGCATCTGCCATCCTTACCATAAGAAAAGATCAACAATGGCAGGGTACCATCCAGCATGTCCACCCCGGGTCCTCAGTGCCTCGCATGGGGCCTGGTGTTGTTGTTGTTGTTGTTGTTATGTGCTGTCGAGTTGGTTCCGACCCATAGCGACCCTGTACAGGGTTTCCGAGGGTGTAAATCTTTACGGGAATAGAAAGCCTCATCTTTCTCCCGCGGAGTAGCTGGTAGTTTCGAACCACTGACCTTAAGGTTCGCAGCCTGATTCGTAACCACTACGCTACCAGAGCTCCTTGGGGCCTGGTGTAGACTCAGTAAATATTTGAGTTGAGTCAATTTTGAAGGAAAGATGATGGCTACTTCCAAATATTTGTCATGTAGATAGCTGGTCAATTAGATTTATTGCTTATTTCTCCAGAGGGCACATGGAGGCCTCAGGGATAGCATTTTTAGATGGGTTTCCTCTGCTCCTGTAAAGACGGACCACCTCAGAAACGCTATGCAGGATTGCTGTGGGATTCACTGGTTGGCAGCCAGTGAGTGAGTGAAGTTTCAGCTTTACCTGAGCACTTGGTACAATGTGGATCTGTTTAGCAGTCAAATCATTAAGTGTCTTTGGGGAAAGTTGCATTGTTATTTTACATACTCAGGTAGAGGCTGTGTGAGGATTTACCAGAAAAGATCCTTGCTCTTGATGGGATGATTATAGGCCACGCTGTTTTCAACTGTTAACGTTTACTGCCACCTATTTCTTTTCCTTGAAATGTTTCGCAAAGGAAACAACAGCATAATGCTAACTGATAAAGTCTTCTTTCTAAAGTAGACCTTGCTTGTCTTTGCAGGCTAAAGCAAAGCAAAGAGCTGGAGCGGGAGAGAGCCGCTGCCAATGAACAGCTGACCAGAGCTATTCTGCGAGAGAGAGTCCACAGTGAGGAGGAGCGCTCTAAAGCCAAGCACCTGGTAAGTATGGAAGATCCAGTAGGAAGTCCCGGTCTGGGAACAGTGAAGTATATAGCATGGATAGTGTTCATATTCTCTTTGCTTAGAATCTCTTGGTTGTGGCTTTCACAAGTTGTTCTTTTGCTTTTAAGTGCCAGCAAGTCAGTTCTGACTCATGGCAACCCTGTATAGGGTGAGTTTGAACCTTGTGGTTCAAACTGACCTTGCTGTCCACTGCTTTATGCCACAGTGGGACTCTTGTTAAGATGAACCAACAATACTTTCTAAAATATTGAAAAATCTACACTCCGACATCACTGGCTTTTTCCTGAGAGCCCAGCTTTGTCCCTGTTGCTTTTTATCTCTGAAGCGTTTATCTCTTCACTTCTCCTCACCAAAATGTAATATATATTGTCTTCTTAGTTTACAGAGATGAGCAACATTGGACAAATGTGAAAAACAACTAAACACAAACACACACATGACAAAGGCATAAGAAAAAGAAGCTAGCACACAAAAAACTGAAGGTATAAACCGATTTCTTCCTGTTGTAGTTAGGTACCATCGAGTCGGTACCCACTCGTAGCAACCCTGCACACAACAGAGCGAAACACTGTCTGGTCCTGTGCCAACCTCACAATTGTTGCCACATTTGAGCCCATTCCTTTTGCCATTGTGCTGATCCAGTCTACTTCAGTTCACTAATACCTAGGAAATCGATTTTTATGTGTTTCGTTTCATATTTCACAACTTCCAACTCCTGGATTCATACTTCGTATATTCAGTGTTCTGATTATTAATGGATGTTTACAGCCGGTTTTTCCTCATTTTGAGTTAATGTTTTCATCTTTTGGCACTGTATCTGACAATCTTCTGCTGTTGGTCATAAGGTTTCAATGACTAAACATTCAGAAGCAGTCCTCTTCGCCTTCCTCCTAGTCTGCCTTAGTCTGCAAGCTCCGCTAAAACCTGTCCACCAGGTGTGACCCTGCTGGTATTTAAAATACCCCTGGCTTACCTGTCAGCATCACAGCAATATGCAAGTCACCACAGTATGACAAACCAACACATGAGTGGTGGCTAGGTTTCTGATGACTCCCAATGTATTTGCCAATTATGACATCTGCTTGTAGTTATTATATTAAGACATATGTATTTACTGGATAAATAATCAGAAAATAAATTGTTCAAAATTAATATCATTCAAACAAACATGAACCCCAACCCCAAATCAACACCATGCTGTTAAGTTGATTCCAACTTCTCATGAGATTGACCAGATGTGCTCCCCAGGGTTTTGCCAAATTGTAAATCTTTCTGGAAGCGCTTAATCCACAGTGCCACCAACGCTCCTGCAAATTTCCACCCAGAGACAATTACTGCTAACATACCGGTTTATAGTTTTGATAGTGCTGTAGCCATTCCACAAATTCTCCATAAAACATTTGTTTTTGTATATGTAAATATATTTCTCCAAACAGAATAGTCTCCATACTATTGTAATAGTCATCTTACAGTCATCTTCGCATTAGAAAAAAAGAAACTGATTATATGGTAAACGTCTTCTGTACCAATAAATACTTATTTGTATGATCACTTATTTATGGTTGAATGCAGTTCCCTGGGTTCCCAAGTGATTATTAAAATATGAGGAGAGGATAGAAAATTTGAAAAATTAAAAATGACTTGGAGAGTCAGCATGATTATAGTTGTCATGTACAATCAATGAATTAATGTTTAGGTATCTATTATTCCTTCGACCCCCCACACCTCCCAATGGATGTATCCCATGCAGGTTTTTAGGTCTCCAAATTCTGCAGCCCTTTGCCCTCTGAGCCAGAATTGTGAGGAGTGAAAAGAATCTGACAGTTCACCATTATATCTTATTCTTCCTTTGGAAGGTTTGAGTAACAAGAACTCATGACTCATGGGAGACTCACCCCAAGAATGTAGCGTTGTTTGGCCATGTGTGCTGAACTCCTCTTGATGCCATTCTGAGAACCTGATATGTGGGACTATTTGAGCGATGGCCCAACATTGATTTCTTCCTCTTTATTTAGAACCCAAATGTTGCAGCCAGCAAGAAAGTAAAGGTTGGGCTTCACACATTTAAAGTCACTGGAAAACTGTCTTTCAAGCGAAGCCGGGAAGAAAAAAACCTGATGCGATGTTGGTTCTGTGAAATGATACTCACTCCCTGTCCTCCTCCCCGTCCTCCTCCGCCCAGAACCAGTTGACATTTAGAATGCTGTCTCCTTACATGGAATCCAAGCTTGACTCCCCCAGTTGTAGCAGCCAGCTTTATTGAAGCTCTTTGAAGGGCAAAGTCACGGCGGCCCTGTTGTTGAAGTTTTAAAATAGGATCAGATCAGAACTTTCTCCTTTGTAAGGATGGCGTCAGCTGGGCAAGCTGTGAATCCTGCTCTCGGTTTCAGGCAGGCAGACCAGCCTACTCCGTCTTGTCACAAACCAATGCTGGCTTGGTAGCTGGCTGTTATTCCCCAGAGTGCTTGGAGAATCGGGTGACTCACAACTTTACCCATAAAACAGTTCACACAAAAGGTATATTTCTTGATCCCAGGGAAGTGCTTATGTAGAGAAAGTAGACTAATTTGATGGAGCAAAACTAGGAAACAGGTCAAATGAACGCAACTAGACTTTCTGTGTCTCTCTAAGCTCTTGTCCATATAAGCTTAATATTTGCTGTGTCATATAAATCATTTTAAAGACTCATTCTTAGGTGCTGGCGAGTGGCTTCTGATTGCTAGCGGCCCCACGTGACAGAGGAGGTCTCCCTTGTAGGGTTTTTTGCACGCTGTCATCTTTGCAGAGCACATCTCCAGCTCCTTATTCCAGGAAACTGACGACTGGAATTGTACTGGAGACCTTTGAGTCAGCAGCTAAGCATTTAAACATTGGGTCAGGTCATGTGGTTTTTGGTTTTGACTTTGCAATTTATATTAGATCTTGTTTTAGGATGCCAGTTAAAATTTTGGTTCAATGTTTTTTTTCTGTCTTATTAAATATGCTAGTTTAACATTTATCATTTCTTGTCACGACAGCATGACCTAGCATTTTAGCTATACTTCAGTTGTTGTTGTTAAGTGACGTCGAGTTGTTTGCAACCCACAGCGGCCCTGTATACGGTTTCCAAAGATCAGCTGGTGAGCTTGAACCGCTGACCTGGCAGTTCAAACCAACTTTGCAGTCCAGCGCATTAACCCACAGTGCCTGAACAGAAATTCATAAGCTTCGATAGAAGCCTCCATTTAGAGATAAAAGGAGACTTCAAAACATTGTAGAAAAGTTCCACTATTTTTTTTGTTTTCAATTTGCATATGATTTATTGATTGGAAATTAATTTGCTGTGAAAACTTTCACCTAAAACACAACAAAATATTCATTTAAAAAAGAGGCTATGTAAGGTAAGTCTTACTTCATACAATTAGCAATGATTTAATCATGCTTAACATAAGCTTTTAAGCAACTCCAAATTCAAACAAATTCTAGGTAATGTTGAGTAAATCATTTCACCAACCTGGGTTTTGAGGAGGCATCTTTCATATAATCGATGGCACCTAACAACAGCAACTTGGATAGAATGAGAAACTAGAATCCGTTGTCTACTAGTGGAAGGAAACACAAAAGTGGAGAAAGTGAGATGTCTCGGGAAAGTGGGGAGGCTTTGGGGAAAGGGTACATCCATGAGGTCTCCACTGGTATAGGCCTTAGATGTTCTTACTCTCTTACCTTGAAGTTTTGGTTCTATCATTAACTTTTGCTTAAGTCCAGAACAAGAATGAGGGCAGAGAGAAACCAAGGCCCATAGAAATAACTGTAGTCTGCACCTACATTTCAGGATGGAGTTTGGCCAGCTTTCTTGATGTCTCACGATTTTTAAATTACATTTTCCAATAACTTTTGACACCCCCTGATATTTACTTGACTCCTGGTATGGTGCTGTGGTATAATGCACTGGACTGCAAGGTCAGTTTGAACCACAAGGTTGGCAGTTCAAGTTTACCAGCCACTCTTCAGAAACCCTATACAGGGTTGCTATGAGTCAGCACTGACTCGACGGCACTAAACAATAGCAGCATATTTACTTAAACATTCTGGAGCTTATAAACCTAAATGTGATATCCTTCCTCCTCCCTCTACACCCACCTCCACCCCCTTGGGTAGATGTTTTATTAAGTACTGGCTGTATGGAATACATTATGCTAGGTAGTACGGATATGTAGATGAAAAAAGATACAATCCTGTCCTTAAGGAATTCCAACATACTGTGGGAGACAGATGCATTAAACAGCAGTACATCATCTGTTGTAAGGAGCTCTGGTAGCATAGTGCTTACCTGTTGGGCTGCTAACCTCAAGGTCAGCAGTTTGAAACTACCAGTGGTTCCGTGGGAGAGAGATATGGCTTTCTGCTCCCGTAAAGATTTATAGCCTTGGAAACCCTACGCAGGGTCAGTGTGAGTTGGAATCGACTCCACGGCACACAACTATCACCACCACGTCTGTGTACTTGTGAAGAGATTCTCACTTTGAGAAAGTGAGGTCTTTGCACGTGTTCCTTTGACACAGCTTTGAGTGTCTACTATATGCCAGTGCCTATATAAATACATATATAGGAGTCCTGGTGTGGCGCTGTGGGTTAATGAGCCAGATTGCAAAGCTGTTTGAACTACAAGGTCAGCGGTTCAAGCTCACCAGCTGCTTCTCGGAAACCCTATACAGGGTCGCTATGGGATGGAACCAACAGCCCTTAACAACAACAACATATGAATTGATTGACTGAATAGATCATTGAATCTACCCAAGCCCCACAGGGGACGTAATTTACGCCTGAGCTGCCTCTGTAAGTGTGTGTAGGCGTTAGCTAGCAAGGTCGAGAAGTCAGGACAGGGTGCAGCCTACACAGCTGCAGACAAAAGTCTAGAGAAATGAGGACCTTGTGAGGAACCCCAAGAGGTTGCTGAAGGGGACGGACAGCAAAGAGCATTGCTAGGTGATGCT